GCGCACGAGCGCGGCGCGCGAGACGGACGGCGCGCGTCGAGGGCGAGCGCGTCGATCGCGCGCGACGCTTTGGAGTCGCCGTCGGAGGGGCGAGAGGAGGACGACGCGTCGATGTTCACGGCGAGGATCACGCGAGGGCGGGGGGACGACGTCGAGGCGGTGGACGCGGACGCGGGCGTGGGGGGAGGCACGCGCGGCGCGGCGGACGAGGAGCGGGCGAACGCGTCCGTGGACGCGCCGGCGATCGCGGTGGTGTACGGAGAGGATGATGACGTGGAGGGAAGACGACGGCCGGCGGGATCGACGGCGTCGGCGCGCGAAGTGGCGAGCGAAATCGAGGGAGAAGTTGGGGTCGACGCGCCGGGGAACGGGGTGGAACGGGCGAGAGGTATGCCGGCGAGATTGCGAGCGGGCGGACGCGGAGGGCCGGCGTTGAGCTCGAGCAACGCGCGCGGGCCGCAGTGGCCGGCGAACAGCGCGGCGGATTCGAACACGGCGGCGGTGTCGAGCGATCGAGAGCAGCCTGCGGATTCCACCGAGGCGCAACGGCAGAGCAAGTCGATTGGCGAAGGCGAAGCGGGACGCACCGAGTCCGGGCTCTGCAATAGCGAGGAAGTGGAGGGAGGAGACGTCAAGGCGGCGGGAAGTCTGCTCGCGAGCGAGCGAGGCGCCGTCGGTACGGGAATGGAGGTTGAGTCCAAGCAAATCATATTGCCCTCTCCCACTCCGTGGGATAATCTCGAGCCGTGGGACGTGCCGAGGGAGTCTCTCGTCGAGGCGTCTCTCGAACTCAAGGCGCGGGCGGACGCCTTCAAAAAGTTGGAAAACTTTGGGACGGCTGAGCGCGCGTACGGACACGCGTTACGCTTCATTGATCAGATCGACATGTTCGAGAGCGAGGAGCCGAGTGGATTATCCGAGCGTAACTCTTCATTGAGGTTGGAGTGCCTGCTCCAGGCGAGCGCGTGCGCGTTGCAACGAGCGGATCCCGTAAGAGCGGGCGAACTCGCGGCGCGCGTGATCGCGCGCGAGCCGAACAGCGCGATCGCTCTCAAGGCTCGCGCGATCGCGGCCGTCACGGAAGGTGACTTCGGTACCGCCATCAGTGATTTGACAAAGGCGTTGGAGTTACACCCGCAAGATACGGCTTTGAAGCAAGATCTGGCCGACGTCATCAGCAGACGCGACATGGCCGTCCACGCGCCGAGACGCACCGCCATCGGTGCGTCGCTCATGGGGCCTCCTGGGGCGGTCACTTGGGGGACGATGCCCATGAGTGTTGTGGGCGGCGCCGCATCCAGCGCGCACGGTGGTAAACTATACTCTTATCCGAACGCCGGGTACGTCGCGAGCGGCGGTCTCGGGATGACTCACGAAGTCGAGGGCGAGACGGATGGTGCGATCAGCGCCATGGCAGGAGGCTACGGCGCGTTTCAAGGCCCCGGTGAAAATAATGGTGCCGGAATCAACGCGCAAGCCCTTCTCGACGGAACAAATCTGCTACGTCGCGCCGAGAGTATTTCGCACGCCACCGGCGCCGGCTCGCGCATGGATATGCCGGACATGACTTTCAACCGCGTCGGCGGCACGCCGAGCGTGAGTAAAGGAACGGCAATTTCATTCCAGAAAGGCGCACTGCAGTCGGACGCCTTCATGCTCGGCGATGAGAGCGAGGAAGAGGGAGAGGAGGTGTGCGGTGGTGGCTCGAACACCGCGAAGAACGTGACGGACGAACATGTAGACTCGTAGAACGCTAAAATCGATTCGATACAATTTTGTTTATGCTACACAAAGGGAAAAAGCCGCGAAATAACACTACGCCGGGACGGCGTTGCGCGTACCGTGCACGCACGCCCAGCCGCCCTCTTCGTCTACCGAAAGATTGTCAAAGTGCGTCGAATATTTCGCCACGACGGATGCGCTCTGTTCACCGTGTAGAACTCCACTCAATGCCACCTCTCCGCCTGTTTTGCAATATCGAGCAAAGAGTGGTTCTAGCTCAAGAACCGGTTGAATCAAGATGTTCGCGATGACGACGTCCGCTTGACCGTTTGCGCCTGGTGTTCCCGGATCGGTGCCGTCGCCCAAAAACGTACTCAATCGGTGCTCAACACCGTTCAACTTGGCATTATCCATTGAACTTTGCACCGCTTGTCTCGCAAGATCCACACCGACCGCTCGTTCGGCGCCCAAGAGGAGCGCTCCGATTGCGAGAACACCCGAACCGCACCCAAAGTCGACGACGAGTTCCGTGCGCGCGCGCTGTGAAATCGTCTTCTTGAGCCAGCGAAGGCACAATCGCGTCGTCGGGTGCTCCCCCGTGCCGAACGCGATCCCGGGTTCGAGCATAATGTTCACCGCGCTCTCGTCCACGTCGCTCACCCAATTCGGTACGATGTTCAATCCGCTCGCGACTTCAATCGGCGAGAACGACTCCTTCACCGCCTCCACCCAGTCGTTCGACCGCGCGACGTCGTGCGCGGCGTCGAGTTTTACCCCCAAAATCATCTCCGCCGAGCGCACGGCCTCGACCGCGTGCTCTTTCGTGTCGAAATACGCCGTGAGATCGCACCGCGCCCACACCCGCGCCCGCGCCGCGTCGCTCGCCGCCTCGACGAATGTGTTCGAGCTGAAAATCTCCTCCTCCGACGCCGTCCCTCGGTCCGCGTCCGTCGTGCTCACGCTCGAGGCGCCCATGGAGAGTAAGATATCGGACAGCGCACCCACCGCGCTCCTCGCGACGCGAGCGATGGTGACGTACGGCGCGTCCGAGGCATCGAGCGCGCCGTCCAAAGAGTTGACGTCTCGCCACGACTCCGACGACGACGCGAACGGCGTGGCGGGCGAGCGAGGAGGTGGAGACGATCGCGATGATATCCATCGATATCGAACGATGGATGACGACGCGTGGGCGACGACGCGGGAGACGGTGGCGCGCATGGCGGAGTGAGGGTGAAAACGCGACGCGACGCCGAGCCGTCGAGCCGTCGAGCGTCGGGCTCGAGGGGCGAGAGCGGACGATGGGACGATACGTTTTGTGAGAAGAGACGTTTTATTTCGAGCGAGGATTTCAGCGCGCGCGCGAGTTGGATATCGCGCCGGAAAGACGACGCGCGCGTCGTTCGATTGCGCGTCGAGACGGACCGCCGCGCTCGATGAGCGATCACTTTCCAGCGCCGCCTGAGGGAGGCATTCGGTGGTGCGGGGCGCCCGGATGGCCCGGTGCGCCCATGTCCGACATGCCCGGCATCATGCCCGGCATCATGCCGTGCATTCCGTGCATCTGGTACATCATGTGTCCCGGCATCTGCGGGTATCCCGGATACATGACCATCTGCGGCGCCGCCGGCGGTGCGGCGGGTTTTTTGAACGACGGCACGAACTCTGCAGCCTTGGCGCTGAGAGAGAAAGCCTTGGCGTTGGGGTTGAGTTTGGACTTGGACGGATCCGCCGGCGCGGCGTCCGCCTTGTGCGCAGCCGGTTTCTCCGCGCGCTTCTCCGCGTGCTGAGCCACGGTGCTCGGAACTTTGCCCGATTCCCAAGCGGGTCTCGATGGTGGCGCCGGCGGCGCGGCCGCTTTGCCCGTGCCCAAGACGGACGAGTAACGCTCCTCCTCGTCGTAATCAGCCGTGGCTTTTTGTCCGCGCTCCTCCGCCACGTGAGGATTGTCCGAGATTTGGTTCTGAATCTCGTACGCGATGCGCGCGGCCTCGGCCTCGGAGATCCCGGCGTTTGACTTGTCGATGGACGTCGTGTACACCGTTTCATCGAACTTGGAGTCGACGCCGAAGAGTTGCTTGTTCGCCGCGAACTGATCCCAGGCGGCGCCGCCGTTGGACTTCTTCCCCCAAGCCCCGGCGCCTTGCGATTTCTTCGCCCCGAGCGTCGCCGCTTCCTCCTCCAGCGTCATCGCCCCGCTCCCGTCGTCCGCTTCCGGGGTCCAAGCGACGAGCTCGCGATTCGCCCCCGTGGCGCCTCGAGAGATGCCGCCGTCGGTGAAGTCGTCGTTCATGCGACTCGGTCCCACCGCCAGGTCGCTCATCCCCACGTCTCGCGCTCGCACGCTCGAGATTTCCGACACCTTCACCGTCATAGACTCCACCGGTTTCCCTCGCTGCGCCCGCACGTCGCTTCCCGCGTCGTATTTTTTCCATGCGTACGCGATCGTCCACGCCTCCGCGTCCGCCTTCGCGAGCACCCCCTCGTGCGTCGTCCCGTCCACCGTTCGCACCTCCACGCGGTGTCCGCGCAAGATGTGTCTCGCGAACGCCCCACGCTCGGCGTCCGTGGACGACATCTCGTTTCACCGCGACGCGCGATCGATTCGGTGTCGCCCCGCCGACGCGGAGAAAATGTGTCCGAACGTCGCGTTCGACGACGCCGCCGACGACGACGGGCGACGACGACGACGACGACGACGCCTCGGTGTCGACGACGACGACGACGACGGGAGGCGTGTGAATCGAACGACCGCGCGGTCGCGATTGAAGTCGAGCGGTGATGCGTCAGGGTTGAGACCGCGACGGCGCGGAGAGGCGCGACGCGCGGACGAGGGCGACTCGCGGGCGTGGGCGCGAGGTGCGCGCGAGTGCGTGCGTCGTCTGTGTGATTTCTGAGTGGACTAGGACACTAGGACGCCGCGCGAGCGTCGGTGGATTTGGAGCGGTTGACGTTGGCCATGAGCGACAACGCCGGGGTGACCTTCTCCTGGGCGGTGCGTCTGTCGTAGGTGGACTTTTGCATCGCGCTGGAGTGACCCATGAAGCGAGCGAGCGCCTCGAGCTCGGCGTCGGTGGCGATTCCTTGCGAGCGGACGTGGGTGACGATCATGTCGCGAATCAAGTGCGGATTGGTCTTCTGTCCGGTGATCCTCAGAGCGGTTCGCGAAAACGTGCGACTCAACTCGCTGACGTTCCACGGCGAGCCGTTGGGTCTGGTGAAGACGAAATCGTGCGTGGGCTCGAGCGCGCGACGGTGAACGGCGAGCCAGCTCTCCAACGCCGGGTACACGCGCGAGTCTATGACGAGCGCGGGACGCTCGCCGTAGGCGCCGCCCGTCTTGTAGTCATCCGGACCGTGACGCACCATCCACAGTCCCGAAGACGCGTCGTGAAAGAGCGTTTTGTTCAGCTGAAGCTCACGCAGCGTGCGCTGACGATCGGGAATGCACGCCAAAATGGCGAACAGTAAATATCGCTGCACGCTCGTCGCGATTTCTCGTTCGGAGCGCTCCTTGCCGTTGGCGTCGAGCGGGGCGCACTCGAGCTTGAGATGCTCGACGAGCGCCAGGTATTGGTCCCACTCGAGCCATTTTCGATCATCGTCGGCGGCGTGCGGAGCGTTCTTCGCCCGATCTCGCGCAGAACGCTGTACTCGAATGAGCTCCTGCACGCACGGTGGAGCGATGCCGTCGTCGTCGACGTGGTCGTGCACCCACTTCGCGAGCGCCACGAGCGAGCGCAGTTGGAAGTCCTCCGTCGTCGACTTGATGCGCCGTTCGTCGCTGAGCCACTGGACGTACTCGATCGCGTACGTCGCCCCGGCGCTCTCACGCGTTGGAAACGCGTCGCGTAATCCCACTCCAGGCTTCAAGATCACCGCACCCTCGTCACTCAGCGTCGCAAACTCTCTCCTGTGCTCGGACTCCCTCGCGAGCCAACCGAGAAACTGTTTCGCCACGGCGACGTGATTCATCGCCGTGCGCTCGCGCACGGGCGCTCGTCCACCGCCGACGCGTCTGCTCGTCAAATCTCGCACCATCCGATCCAATTCCCTTCGTAAACCACTCGTGATCTCGTCTCCGCGAAGACTAAACGGTTTCATCCGCGTGCGTTGCGTCACGCGCACGTCCGCCAAACGCCCGCCCGCTTCGCGCGCCACCACCGGCACCCGCGCGCCGCGTCCCGGAAGCTCCCCACCGACCCACCCATCACCATCAATCGTCGTCGCCGTCGCCCGCGTCCCACGATCGTCCCGCATCGAGCCGTCGGCATCGTCCGCCGCCTCGCGCGCGAACGCCTCGCCGAACGCCGCGTACAATCGTCCCGGCACCCCGACCACCCTCGCCTCCTCCGCCCCCATCCCTCGCACGTCATCGACGGTTTCGAACCAGTGCGTCTTCAGCGCGCGCGTGACCTCGATCGCGTCCGTTCGCGTGCGTCCGATGGCGACGCACGCGGTCGCGACGAATGTCATTAATTCACACTCATCGCCATCATCGCTCGAGCCATCATCGATGGTCTCCATCGCCCGCGCGCGCGCGCCCACGCGCGGCCGCGCATGGGGCGCCACGCGCGCGCGCGCGTGCCTCGGAGCGCACGCGCGCGTCGACGCGGACGCGGACGCCATCGCGGCGCGGCGGCGTGTGCATCACAGCTGTCGACACATTTAAGTTTAAATCCATAATCACATCATCGCGTCGGCACATCCCCGCGCCCGCGCGAGGGCGTTTGGCGCGATGTCGGGACGTCGATCGACCCGACGCGCGACCGCGATGGGGCTCGGGACGGGGCGCAGGGACGGGAGCGACGCGCGTGGGACGGAGACGATGAAGATCTTTGCCACCGAGGATGGGTCGAGGCCGACGGGAAGAAAACGCGGACGAGACGACCGCACGGCGGCGAAAACGGCCGAGGGAGGGGCGCGGGGGAAGAAGAAAAAGAAGCGGTACGATGCGGCGTTCGCGGCGGTGTTGGCGCGACGATCGGGGACGGAGGTGGCGACGGCGGCGGCGGCGGAGGAGACGCGGGCGGAGACGCGGGCGGAGCGCGGAGACGCGCGGGCGAAGACGACGAACGGGACGAAGCGAGGGGGGAAGGGAGGGGGAGGGACGAAGGCGTCGCTCGTCGTCGTTGAACCGGACGCGATGGCGTCGGAGAAGGGGAAAAAGGGGGGGAAGAAGTCGAACGCGTCGGCGCCGCCGCCGAAGCGCACGTATTGGAAAAAGGTAAATCTTGACGGTGAGATTTTCGCCGTCGGTGATAGCGCGTACGTCGTGAACAGTAAGACGGAGGACTTCGACGAGGACGAGGACGCGCTTTGTATGGTGTGTCGCGATCCGGTGGATGATGATCGCGTCATGCTCGAGTGCGACATGTGTTTGACGGGTTGGCACATGTGCTGTCTGAGGCCGCCGCTGACGAACGTGCCAGAGAGCGATTGGAGCTGTCCGCTGTGCACGCGCGAAAGCACGTCGGTGAGCGCTATGCCGCAGCTCCAGAACACGTCGCGATCGGCGTGCGGCGAGTTCTTGGCCGGGCGCATGCTCTTGGCGCGCATAGAGCACATTTGGGAAGAGAACGGCACGTATCAGTACGCGGCGCGATGGTACACACTGCCGGAGGATACGCACATGGGTCGTCAGCCGATGCAACATAGGCGAGAGGTGTTCTTGTCCCACACTGTCGATGTCAACGCCGTTGATTCTTTGTTTCGCGTCGCGAAAGTTTGCACCCCGCAAGAGTTTCGCGACGAGGAGGGTAATGGGAACGACACGTACGTGTGCGAGTACACCTACGACGAAGCGTTCCAAAGGTTTAAACGTCGCGGAGAGTGGGGCGAAGAGGATGATTTCAGCGACGATGAACGCTTCGATAACGAGTTGAATTGGAACGACGACGACGAAGACTGGGATGCGAAACGCGCGGACCCCAAAAAGGGATCAAAAAAAGGTCAGCGAAGCGCGCTGACGGCGATGAAACGCGCCAAGGACATGGCAGCAAGCTTGGAGATAGCTGGATTCGGTGGGAGTGCGCTGGGTCGAGGGCGAAAGCATCCCGCGACGGTGTTCGGTGGCGTTCGGGCCGTCTTATCGTTGGCATCAACGCCGGCGACGCTGCCGTGTCGAGAGAATGAACGCAAGCAAGTGTATGACTTTGTTCTCGAAGCCATCATGGCTGGTCCTAACAGCACGGGAAAGTGCCTGTACATTTCTGGCGTTCCCGGTACCGGTAAAACCGCCACAGTGCGAGAGATCGCTCGCGTTCTTCGCTCACAGGCGAGAACGCATGCGATTCCAAAGTTCAACTACATCGAGCTCAACGCACTTCGCTTGCAAACGCCCAAGCACGCGTACAGCACAATCGCGGAGGAGTTGATGGGGCAACGCTTCAGCCCGGAGAAGGGCTGCATGGTCTTGGACAAAAGGTTCAAGGAGGGTAAGGGCAGCGACGGCAGGGTGACGGTACTGGTCGTCGACGAGCTCGATTTGCTCGTCACGCACAAGCAAGATGTGCTGTACAATATTTTCGATTGGCCGACGCACAAGAAGAGTCGACTCGTCGTGATTGGCATCGCGAACACGCTCGATGTGCCAGAGCGCATGCTTCCACGCATCGCCTCGCGTTTGGGAAGCAACAGAGTGTCATTCGCACCGTACACGTGGGATCAACTGAAAACTATAGTCACATCGCGTCTAGAGAGCGTGGAGGGATGCAGCGACGCCTTTGCGACGTCGACGCTTGACTTGATTTGCAGAAAGGTTGCATCCGTGAACGGCGACGCGCGGCGAGCCCTGGAGCTCGCACGACGCGCCGCCGAAGTAGCCGAGGCGAGAATCAACGTCGAAAAAGTGACGAATATTTCACAACCGATCACCGTGAGCAACGGCGGGGCGGACGCTCGCGCCAAGGCTCGGAACGAAAAGGTTACCATGGACGACGTGCGTCAGGCTCAGAGCGAAATGTTTGATGGGCCGCACATGAAACTCATCCACGCCGCGAGTTTCTACGAGCGCATGTTTCTCATCGCCCTCGCGAAAGAGATCCAGCGCTCTGGGACGCAGACGGTCACCATGGGAGGCGTCATGGAGATGCTCAGATTGATTTGCAAGAGTCCCAAGGTGAGCGTTCCCGAGCCTCCGATTGGGAGCGGCGTGCGCATCGCCTCTCGGCTTCGCTCCACCCACCTCATCATGACCGACGCTTCCACCTCTCGTAACTTACAGCAGGTATCCCTGAGTATTCCAGTCGCCGACATCACCTTCGCCTTGGTCGAAAACTGCGAGAACAGCGACATGCCGTGGTGCAAAGATATTTTGTAACGCATCCACCGACGAAACCCGGCACCTCTGGCGCCCGCCGCGCCGTCCCCGCACACGCGCGCGCGCATGTTCGCCTGATCGATGTCCCTCGAGCGCGCCATCGCGCGCGACCCCTTCGACGCGTTCCCGACGCCGTGGACCACGCGCGAGGCGAGCGACGACGGCGACGCCCGTCGCGAGACACACGCACGCGCACGGCGACGAAGTGTGATCGCCTCATGGAACGTCGGTCTCCGAGGCTGGCGAGCGATGACGGACGCGTCGCGCTCGCGCGCGCGCGCGGTGGACGCGCACGGACAGACGCGATCGGTGCCGAGGCGTGGGACCCTGCGCGCGCTGGGGGCGGACGTGCGCGTGGCGTGCGTGCAAGAGACGAAGATGTCGCGCTTGGACTTTGAGCGACGCGGACGCGAAGCGGATTGGGACTGCGCGCACAGCGCGTGCGATGCGAGGGATAAACGGTCGGGATACTCGGGTGTGGCTATATACTGGCGATCGAGGGAGACGTGTCCGGTGGCGATCGAGGAGGGTGTGTGCGGGACGCGGACAAAGGCGGAGAGCGCGATTTGGCCGAACGAACGACCGCCCTTGGTGGACGAAGATTACGCACGGGCGAAGGCGTTGGACGACGAAGGCAGAGCGATCTGGGCCGATTTCGGGGAATTTGTTTTGTGTAATCTCTACGCGCCGACGACGTACGGCGCGGTGGATGAGAAGGTTGCGGAACGAATTGATTTCAAGAGAGATTTCTTGCGCGCGCTCGAGGAACGGCTCACGTCGCTGCGCTCCCGTGGTCGCCGCGTCATCATGTGCGGGGACTGGAATATCGCACCCAACTGGAAACTCGATCGCGCGCACGACGATCCGCGCGCCGTTGAGCCGAAGAATGAATCTCGAGAGTGGTTGACTCGCGTGCTAGGTCAAGACGGCATGTGCGACGTATTCCGCGAAGTGCACCCGAACGTCAAAGCGTTCACATGTTGGAACGTAGCGAGCGGCGCGCAAATTAACGATTACGGATCGAGGATCGATTATTTCCTTTGCGACAGAGACACCCTCGGGCACGTCCAAGGCGTGGGCGTGGCGCAAAATTCGAAGGGAGCGACCACGCGCCGATTTTTCTTGATTTGGATGACGCCATGTGGCGCGAACGCACGGCGCATCAGCAACCGCCTCCGTTGGCGATGTCAGTGCTTTACCCGGGTCGCCAGACGACGGTTATCGACCACTTTGCTCCGTCGAAGGTGAGCGGAACCACTGGAATCTCCACACTGGATGCCGAGGACATATCGAAATCCCGAGCGCTGAAACGCGCCCCTGAACCGCCGAAACGAAAGGTTGCCGAAACGACGTTGAAAGACTTCTTCACCGTCAAGTCGTCGAAAAAGAAAATGAACGAACCCGTCACGCCCGGCGAGTCAAAGTCTGTTGACGCAGAAGTGAATGATCCCGACGTGGAAACGACCGTGAAGAAGGTTAACGACTACGACGCGCAAGCGGCGCTTTGGTCAAACACGCTCGCCAAGATGGCTCCGCCCAAGTGCGCGGGACACGGCGAGACGTGCAAAGTCCGCGTCGTGAAGAAGCGCGAAAGTCCACACTTTGCTCGCGTCTTCTTCTGTTGTCCCCGGCCGGCTGGTCCGCGCACGAATCCTGCCTGCGACTGCGGATTCTTCGCTTGGCGCGACGATCGACGAAGCAAGTGACGCGGAGAGCGCGACGGGAGATGTGCGCGAACGGTATATTAGAGTATTAGAAGGACCGCTACCGGTACCGGTAGATGTATTTTTAGCGAGTTAGACAAACGCACGGATGTCAATCGCTCTTCACTCTCTCTCGCGCGGGCGTTTTGTTGACGACGCGAGAGCTCAACAACCCGCTCGCGACGAAAACCGACGTTCCGACGACGTGCGCCGTCTCCCACACGCACCCCCCCGCTTCGGCCATGACGGTCGAGTACACGACAACGATCGCCGCGAGCAATCCGAACGGTCCGATGTCACCCAACACGAGCTGTTTCACCGCGCCCACCGTCGCCAGGGCGCATCCAAAGCTCAAATCGATCGTCTGCGAGTTCCCCGCCGCCTCGTGCATCTGCGCCGCCTTTCGCATCGCTCGCGCCGAGACGTCCACGAACAAATCTCCCGTCGTTCCCGGGAGCACCGCGCGCACCAACCGCGCCGGGGCGTAGAGAATCGTCAGCGCGCGCGCCGCGCCGTCGCTCAGGCGAGTGAATTCTCCCATGCGGTACATGGACACCAACGCCGCGACGCCGTCGACGGGGACGAACGCGTCGACGTGCGCGTGGGTTCGGAACAACGGCGCGCCCGCGAGGACGCACAGGGCGAACGCGCGGGCGAACACGACGGGGGCGACGCGAGGAAACATGTCGATTCGATGCACCGCGTCGCACACTGCCGCGCGCGCGACGCGCTCGGGGAACGACGATGCGGTTTCGATCGCCCGGCGCGCGCGCGATCGCGCCGCCGACGCCGCGCGCGCCGAACGCGCGGCGGGGCGTCGTCCGGGGCGCGACGGCGACGCGATCGATGACGCGGACGATCGCTCGAGGTGCGATCGCGTTCGTCCACGCGTGCGTTCGCGCGCGCGGGCGAGGGCGACGACGGCGCGCGTTCGCGAGGACGCGTGACGATGGGCGCGCGGTGGGGGGGCGAGACGGGCGCGCGCGCGTTCGCGCCGGGGTGTCTCGCGTGCGCGTGCGCGGCGTTCGCGGTGTTCGTCTCGCCGGAGGCGACGATGGCGGACGCGCGCGGTCGCGACGGCGACGGCGCGCGTGAGGTGGTGGAAAACACGCGCGCGGCGCACGGGGAGGTGGCGAGCGAGAGCGCGGTGACGGATGGGGAGATTTTGGAGGAGGCGTGGGGGTTGGTGAATGAAAATTTTTTGCCGGCGCGAAAGTCCGAGTCGGACGGATTCGATCGCGCGGCGTGGGAAGCGTTGCGGGCTGAACACGAGGCGAATCCGCCGAAGATGAGAGAGGAGGCGTATGAGATGATCCGTTCGATGCTCGGGACGCTTGGTGATAAATTTACGCGCTTCATCGAGCCGGAGCGATTCAACTCGATGTTAAAATACGACATCACGGGCGTCGGGTTGAACATCGCCGAGGACGCGGCGGATCCAGAGCGTGTGCGCGTGTTAGGAATGGTGCTCGATTCGAGCGCCATGAAGGCGGGCGTGGAGCAAGACGACGAGATCGTCTCCGTGAACGGCGAACGCGTGCGCGGTTTGAGCGCGTTTCAGGTTTCGTCTCTCATCCAAGAGGCCGAGGGGAAGACGATCGATCTCACGATCGCGCGCAAGGGGGAGAATGCGCCGAGAACGCTCTCTCTCGCGCGCGACGGTGGTTTTGAGGCGCCAAAGAGTCCGGTGAGTATGCGACTCGAAGGCGGACACGTCGGTTACATTCGTCTGCGCGAGTTCAACTCGCTCGCCGAGCGCGATATCGCTCGAGCGATCGGTGAGCTGAAAAAGCAAGGCGCGGACGCGTACATATTAGACTTGCGGGATAACCCTGGTGGGCTGGTGCAGGCTGGCGTCGAGATCGCTCGACTGTTCTTACCCTCCGATTCGACCATCGCGTACACGGAGGGACGCGTCGTCGCCGGGGGCGTCAAACGCGATACGGACGTCTCAGCGACAAAGCGAGCGCGAAACGGTTCCGCGGATGCGGTTCCAACCAAGCTCAAGGCGATCAAGGCGAACAAAAATGGTCCCGTGGTGCCCGCCGATGTTCCGCTCGTAGTTCTCGTGAACAGCCGTAGCGCCTCGGCGAGCGAAATCTTAACTGGAGCGCTCAAGGATAACTGCAGGGCCACGGTGGTCGGAAGTCGCACGTACGGCAAGGGTTTGATTCAAAGCGTCTACGAGCTCAGCGATCTGAGCGGGATGGTGCTCACGGTCGGTAAGTACGTCACCCCGTCTCTCGTGGACATTGACCAGACGGGCATCACGCCAAACTTTGTCATGTTCCCGGGATTCGACGCCGCGGCGAAGGAAATCGGCGCGTGCAAAGTGCCACCGAAGTATTGATGCGTCGGCGTAGCGCTCGCTGCTCTAACGATGTAATTTACAACGCTCTCTAGATAGCCTCCACGACGAAGAACGCGACGGCGACGCGCGTCCTCACGCGCGAGTGAACCAGGCGACAATCGGCGCGCACACCCGCCGCACGGACGCCGGCGCGCGACTGTAAATCTTCTCATTCAACATTCCCCACACCTCTCTGTGATAAAACGCCGTATCGTGCGCGGTGAACTTGATTCGAAACACCGTGTTATCTCTGCAATGATACCTCGCGCGCAACCACGCGATCCACGCGAAGAGTCGACTGAAACTTCTCCTCGGCGTCGCCGTCTCCATCAAAACCATCGTCGCCGCCGAGATCTCCAACGCCGCGCACAGGACGAGCGCAAACGCCATGTTCTCCTGCGCCTTCTCGAACGCGTTCGCCAATCCGAGTGTCCGCCACGCCGACTTTTCATTCGCGTCGCCTCGCGTCGTCGCGTCCACGCGCGCCGCCGCTTGATACGCCGACAGCACGACCAACGGCGTCACCGCCGGCGCGCTCGCGCTCGGTCGCGGCGAGGTCAAGATCAAGACACCGTAGACGACGTATTGAAATCCATTCGTCGTCGTTTGCGCCGCCATCGCGCGCGCCAACGCTCGAAAATCTTTCCTTTGCACCATCGGCCAGAGCGTGTACGCCATTCTGTACACCAACGCAGCTTGCGCGCTCACGATCGAGATCGAGAGCGCGTCTCCCGCGCGCGCGCCGAGCGTCGACCGCGGCGCGAGCGCGCCCGCGAGCGCGACGACGCCGCTCACGCAGGAGACGACGCACGCGATGAAGATGACGGTCGCGCGCATGACTGTGCCGCATTCGATGGGCGCGTCAGTGCGCGACGCATGGCGGTCACGCGCGCGATCGCGCGTCGCTCGCGCGGGCGCGCGGGCGCGGTCGCGCTCGTCCTCGTCCTCGTCGTCGCGCTCGCGAGACAGCGGGCGTCGTTCGCGTCGACGACGACGATGACGCCGTCGAACGATGGATCCTTCGTGGACGACCGCGGGACGCGCGTGCGGGCGCCGCCGTCGCCGACGTCCGTGGTCCCGAACGCGCTCGAACGTCTTCGTGCGCGCGGGGGGGCGGGCGAGGGTGGAGGCGTGGACGTGGATGAGGACGCGACGCGCGCGGCGCGCGCGGCGGCGGCGCGGGCGGGGAAGCGACGACGCGGGATCGAGTTCGCGTGTGGGAACTGTGCGTTGGAGCTCGACGCGAGAGGGAAGTACTCGCTCATGGGGATTATTCCGAGAGCGGATCGCGCGACGGAGGATGGGAAGCGGGCGCTGGCGGCGGGCGCGGCCGTGGCGGCGCCGCTGCGCGCGGTGCCGTTCAAGCGGGCGCGATTCGATTACGTCGTCATGCTCGAGACGTTTGAAAAGATTAACGCGCGAGTGAGTGGGGAGATCGTTGATCCGGTGATTAATGAGGCGACGCGGGTGGCGAAGAAAGGGGCGATCATGGTGTTCGCCAAGCGCGCGGGCTCCGATCGAGCCCGCGGGTGGTGGATGGATACGTTTTGCGCGCACGGTTGGGCAGAGGATACCAAGTTGTACTCCAAAATTGTCCCGATAGATGTCCGAAGGCGGGGTAACGTCTTCGTTCTCCGACGGTTGAAGCGCGTCAAGATGGAAAAGTGTCGGTGCTCGGCGCCAGAGGGCGCGGACGCGAAAGATTATTGCGGCGCCCCGGGTCGACCGAACGCTCAAAGCGAGGTTCGCGAGTATTGGCGATCGATTAAACGTCCGCGTTCGTTCGCATGATGATTTTTCTCATCGGTATAGAAATATTTGTTACAAAAGTGCGCGCTACGAATTCCAGCGCCTCTACGCCGAGGTCGCGACCAACCGCATCATGTCGAGCTGTCGAAGCAGCTCGCGCCCGTTCGGCGGAACGAGGCGAAGGACGTAAAAGAATCTAGCCACCAATCGAGCGATATAGCTCGATATGACGATGGAAATGAGAGGCAACACGCGCGCGGTGACATCCGGAAACATGAAAAGATTCGCCACTCGCCACGCGACGCCTATGACGCAAAACGCCAAGTACGCGGCGACGAGCGACGGATTGTACGTCTTCGACCCGGCGTATCCACACAGAGGCCCGAGCACGAGCGCGATGATCGCCCTGTATCCTAAAAGCGAGTACAGGACGCAAAACACGACGTCAACGAGCGCGAATAACCGCGTCACTCGACTCAGCTGTCTCGCGTACGCGAGCGTCTCCAAATCCACCGGCAGCGCTCCGCTCGGCGTCCCGAGCTCCATCGCGATCTCACGCTCGAGCCGCTCTCGCGTGAATTCCTCTCCACTTCCCCAAACGAGCGTCGAGAACTCAAACACCCCACCCCCCGGGCTCCGCACCATGGTCGTCCGCGCGCGCGTCGCGTCCGCCACCGGCGTGCCCACCGCCGGCGGCGTCTCGTGCGTGCGCGCCTCCACCCTCGGCATCGTCCGCGGAATCGGCGCGCCCGCCCGCGTGTTCGGCGACGCGAACACGACCGCGGACCCGTGCTCTTGCGTCGTCACCGCGTCGCCGCGCACCGCGCGCGCCGGTTGCAAAAATCCATCATCCGCGGCATCCACCGCGATCCCGATCACGGCGTCCACGGCGTTCGCGTCGTCGCGCGCGCGCGCGTCCGCGTCCCGCGCGTCCGGCACCGCGCCCTTCGTCGTCGTCGCCTCGTCGTCGTCGTCGTCGCGCATCGCGAGATGGCGATGCGATCGCCCATCGCTCCGTGGTCTCGGACGAACGAACGCGCGACCGCGCGGCGTGACACCGCGACGACGACGACGACGGCGACGACGGACGGAGCGCGCGCGCGCGTCTCGCGCGCGCGGGCGAGGACGCGGGCGGGCGAGGACGGGGGCGACGACGCGGGCGAGGGACGGGCGAGGGACGGAGGGACGTGAATCGTCGTTTTTCCGAGACGATGCGATCGTCGTCGACGTCGCGACGGGCGGCGAACGACCTCGCGCGAGGCACCGCGCTCGGGACGCACGGACGATACGAGATCGTGGAGATGATCAATCGAGGTGGGACCGCGGTGGTGTACAGAGGAATCGATAGGGAGAAGGGTGGGGGGGAGATCGCGCTGAAGTGCATCGACGTGTCGAGCGACGCGCGCGTCGTCGTCCCTCTGGCGGCGGTGAAGCGAGAGATTAAGTACGCGACGCGGTTGATGGGTGGGAACGGGTCCAACGCGGGGGTTCCCGGGGTCGTGCGTTTGTTGTGCGTCGAGACGCGCGCGCGATGCGCGTTGGGCGTTCGCGTCGATTCAATCGCCGACTGACGGGCGACGCGCGTCGATTCGTAGAAACGTGGTGAATCACGGCGAGGACGTGCTCGTGCTCGTTTTCGAACTCGCAAAGGGTGTCGACGCGCTGGATTACATCAACCAACACGGTGGTCGTCTGGATGAGGACGAGGCGCGTCGGTTATTCGCGCAGCTCGTCGAGGCGGTTCGAGCCATTCACGATCTCGGATTTTGTCATCGCGACGTCAAACCAGAGAACGCGATCGTGTGCGAGGACGGGAATTTACGATTGATCGACTTCGGTCTCGCGAAAGGGCTCGAGAGCGCGAAGACGCGAGCCGTGGGCACGCCCGATTACATGTCACCAGAGCTGCTCGACAAACTCGATCGCGACGGCAAGGCGCGCACGGAGAAGTACGACGCGGCGGCGTGCGACGTTTGGAGCAGTGGCGTTTTTCTTTTCATCATGCTTACCGGTCGGTACCCATTCCAAGACCCGAATCGTCCGAATAACGTCAAGGCGACGTTGCAAAATATTGTGAAAGGAAACGTTGCGCCACTGCGGGTCGACGTCTCGGATGATGTTCGCGACTTACTTCGATGCATGCTCACGCCGGATCCGAGGAAACGAATCACTTTGAAACAGGTCGCGAAACACCCGTGGCTCAGTGGATCCTTGGGGCGACGTAAGAAGCCCAGCCTTGTGGACCGTTTGAAACAGTCTTTTACGTTTCGTCGCGCCACGACGTCGGATTGAAATTGGGAAGAGCGCTTCGGTTCACACAAAAATGCTTTAAAAGAGCTGCTAGTGGTCCGGTACAGGTGCAATACAAGATTTGATCAAACGCAAGATATAATGAAACATAATGAACGCCGATACGCGCAGTGTCCCGCGATCTACACGATCGATGACGTGTCGCGATGATGCCATCCACGCGCGTTGCCGTCCTCACGTCGTCGTGCTTCGACTGCGAGGTCGTCGAGCGCCCGGGAAGGGACAACCACCACCGTCATTTGCGGTAGTTGCGACTGTGGCACGTAGGTGGCGTACTCTCCACCGAGAGACGTAAGTTCGATGGACCTCTCTGGGGTCTGCGGGGTCATCCCCGGAGCCGGCGCAGAGTCTTGCGAAGTTGACTCGCCTATTACTGACGTGCGGCATATCGGGCAAGTGCAACTTCCGCGCAACCAAAGATCAGCGCACTCCTTGTGGAACAAGTGCTTGCAGGAAGGGAGTCGTCTCAGTTCCTCACCGTTCGTGTAATCGTCCAAACAAATCGTACACGTCGGATCGTGCCCCTCGGACTCTATCACCTCCTTCAAGACGGGGTCAAACTTCACGATCGGGAGCGCCTGAACGACTTCTTCCGGCGTGCCAGTCTGCTGACCTCTCGTGCCGTCCTGAAACGCGAGCTGGGTCATCCGTTGTTCTCTAAAACGCCTAAGTTGACGGCGCTGGAAGAAACGCCTGATGGTCATGACGACCATGCAAAAACTCACACATATAAACAAAACAAAAGCCATGGACATCAAGTTTGGCGGTTCGCGCTGGGAGTACCAGGATGCCCTGGTGACTTGTATGGTAAAGTCGACGTTTGCGCCCGACGGTAGATCTCTGTTGTAAATCGCGAAGTAATATCTCACGTCTGACATGACGTTCTTCAACGACAGCGTCGTGACTCCGTTGCTAAGGAATCTCTGATAGTAGTAGTCGTAGTCGACCAGCGTCGGCTCTGATTGCACCTTTATCAGCAGCAACGGATCGCCGCCAACGCCACGCCAATTGAACGAAATCTCCACCCCGTCACCAGAGTATCTATAAATTCCCGACAAATCGTACGAACCGTACCAAAACTTTCCCGGCTCGAGCGATATGACTGGAGTCGCGCTCGTGGCGGTCCCGTAGTGGCGATACATATCGCGACACGCGTTCCCGAACGGCGCGAGCGAGCCCGCCACGCCCGCGAAAGGCGTCGACGAGCACGCGCACTTCGTATCATCCCCACTCGCGGACCCACTGTTCACGCACTCGCCGTTATTCGAACAGTCGTACGGACAGAGCGGCCCCCCCGACGTCTGCGCCCCCGAGCGCGCCGTGAGCTTGAATTCCGCGTCGCCGTACGCCCCCGCGACCAACTCCGCCTTCACTCGCACGTCGTACCATCCCGCGCGCATCCCTATAAACTTCATCGATCGATAATTCCCCGCCAATCCAAACATCCCGTACGCGATGTTCTCCCCCGCGCTCCCGCGCGTCGGGACGTCGCCGTACCGTCCCTCCCCGTCCGGGACGCGATACGCCCCAACCTGACGCCTGTACCACTCCTCTTCCCCGCTCCCGCGTTCGACGTACACCATCGGGTAATTCGCCACGCGTTCGAGTTCGAACACCACGTCCGCGCCGTCATCGCGCAGGGTGAAGTTCATTCGCACGTCCGCCCCTCGCGGCACCGTCATCGTCACCGGGGTCCCGAGCTCGAGCGTCGTCATCGCCCGCGCGCGCGCGATCGCG